ACACACACACACACACACACACACACACACACACACACACACACACACAGACAAACAAGTTTGTATTTCTATTCATTTATTTAGCCTAACTCTGACCTTTACCCTTAACATAACTGCCCCTAGCACAATATTTACAATATATCTAACACTAACCTAAATTGAAGTCAGACCTTATTCCTAAACTTAACTACTAACCAAAAAATGGCATTCCACCGTATTAAGACAAAGCATTAGTCCCCAAAAGCACTACTGGTCCTGACCAGTTGTGTATAACAGAAAAGGTCCTAAAAAGGTAATCAAAAACGGACACACATACAAATATTGCACAGCTCAAACAGTTCAGGTACGCTTTAACTGGTAATATGATAATAGTACCTTTCTCTATCTTGGAAAGATTTTATTCAATACCTGTTATCTATTTAAAACCTGCAATTAGCAGTTCTCATCTGTTCCACACAAACACACAGCTGTGATCTCTAGGTGCTCATGAAACATTTTTCACAGCTTTTCTTCGCTCTACTAAGCATGTCAGTATCAGTCCCATCATGGCTCACTTCATTCTTTCTTTGATAAAAAGATGCATTCTGTCAGTCATACACAAATGCACACACCCTTCTGAGTGACTGACAGCTCTGGGGCTCCCATCATAAAGGAAGAAACAGAGCTGTGTGAAGCAAACTCTGTTTAGTTAAAATAATAAACTTCAACTGAGTGTATGTACACACACATTGTGTATGTTTGTGTGTGTGCACATATACCCTTCCATGAGATAATCAATAAAAAAAAATAATCACTTTTGTTTGTGAGTGTTATTTGAGTGATTTAGACATGACTTTTAGAAGTGATTTATTTCTGAAGCCTTTTGAATAATTAACATGAAATATCTCAGTGCATTTCGCTTTTAGGATTCTTTGAAGTTTTGTTGTTTTGTCTTCATCATAGACGATGTTCAATACCTAGTATCAATGCAGTGAATTGCTCATGTTTATAAATTTGTCTGTGTCAGAACTGATGAAATATGTCTTTTCCAGATAAGKCAAAATGAGAAACAGTGGAAGTCCTGGTTTGATAAAGAAGCCCCTGAGGAGGAAGTGATTCCAAACTCCTACAACCAGAGTCTGGACTGTTTTAGGCAGCTGCTCCTCATCCGCTGTTGGTGTCCCGACAGGACCATTGCACAGGTTAAAATGTCACAGATTTTTTCTACACATCAAATAACTTCTATCTTCACACATTCTGGTATTTCTCAGATTCATGTTAAATTTGAATCAACTCTTTTCATTTTTGCTGGCAGCATTGCATTCTGCAACTCGTTTATATTCAGTTGTGGAATGAAATTAATTAGTTTTTAATATTTTAGTAAACCACCTTTGTTCACAATATATCAGAATGAACCGCTTCATGAGTGGCTTTCATATTTTCTGTGAACTTTAGACTTAAGGCTTTTTTTTTGGTAACTCAAACTTGAATAGAGAATAACTCCCTCTGGAGACATTAAAGGGATCCCTGATTAGTTGTAACATTAGACTTTATTTGATAAACCTATATTTTAACTGTAAAATAAAGACTGTAAAAAATACTGTAGGATGTTTAGTTTGTAATTTTAAAAAATATAAATTTTAACACGGATGGAGCCATTTTATTTATACACAAAGCATTCTGGGTAAATGATGACGTGGGTAGGTCCTCGGTGTGAGTGAACTATATCCACCCTGAAGGTTAATCTTGGACAATATCTGACGATCAACTCTTTTAAATGAAACCAGAGAGCGTTGACAGAGAGGAGAAGGTAGAAACGACTCAGCCTGTAACTGAAAATTTGGATGGAGGACAACAGAGCTGCTTCATGGAAGAAGAACCTCAGTTTAGCCTGTTAGTGTTTGCGCTAGCGTTGATGCTATATTGCCTTATATGTATTAGCTCGGTGCTAGCACGACAAACAAGCTAAACTGAGGTCCTCCATCCATATTTTCAGTTGCAAGCTGAGTCATTTTTGTGTTCCCCTCTCTGTCATGTGGATGGAGGACCTCAGTGACGAGAGGAGAATGTGTAGCGCTGAGCTAATACATGTATATGGTGATAGCATCGGGGCTAATGCTAAAGCTAACAGGCTAAGCTGTGGTTCTTCTTCCATGAAGCAGCTCTGTTGTCCTCCATCTATATTTTGGTTACAGGCGGTCGTTTCTACCTTCTCCTCTCTGTCAACGCTCTCTGGTTTCATTTAAGAGTCAATCGTCAGATATTGTCCAAGATTAACCTTCAGGGTGGATATAGCTCGCTAGCAGCCTCACACCGAGGACCTATCCATGTCATCATTTACCCAGAATGCTTTGTGTGTAAATAAAATGGCCCCATCTGTGTAATATATTTTTAAACTTTTAGTTTAAAAATGGTAAAAACTGAACATCCAACAGTATTTTTTTAGTCTTCATTTTACAGTTAAAATACTGTATATGTTTATTAAATAAAGTCTAATGTTACAACTAATCCTGGATCCCTTTAACATTCTTATTGGGAATGAACTGTTGTTGTAAACTGAAAGACTTCTGGGGAAAAAAAATTGCATAAAAAGTTGTGGTATTTCTCCTCGAGGGCTGATAGCTGTGTGTGTGTGCCACTCAGTCAGGCTGTAAGACACAAACATGCTGCTTTTTGTCCTTAATTTAAACCTTACTTTACCAATTGAATACCTATTCAGTTGGTGAAGTAATTGGTAAAGTGTTGGAATTGGCTAAGTTGTGCCTGTTCCTGGGGCCTGTTCACCAGGATCATATTGCACTTTGCAGGAGCTCAACCACTCAGTGTGTTTAAATCTTTTTATGATTCATTTTATTAAAGTTCATCAAACTGTGCAAATGATTTGAACATGACCACAATATTAATGTAGTTCTAAATATTTGCTTTTCATTAGAATTTCAGACATTTTTAGTGTTCTAACAAAAAAAGGTTCATGAATAAAATTATCTTTACTAAGTATTTGGCCCAAATCATTTTATATGAGAGCACAGAGAATGGAGGAGAAGCAAACAGATGCAAATTATCAGATGGAGATCAGCCTTTTAAAATGTGATCATCTAACTAAAATATAGTTATTAAAATATTGCATCATCTAATATGTTTTTTCTTAGTCTGGTTCAGCTCTGTATAAATCAGTACACTAGTATAAGATTTGTTTAACATTGCAAACTAGTCACAAAAATTATGTAAGTAAAGTGTAATAGTGAGACTAAAACAAAACAAAACAAAAAAGCTGAGAATTTGAAAATTATCTTAATTCCCAAATCTTTTGCACTTGGATAGTGGCCTGTTTGGATTAATACATGCTTATTTTCACTTTTAAAGGAGAGGTACAATGCAAAATAGACTTTTGTGAGATTTTTACCATGTTACAATGTCATTCCCTTGTGACTGACACAAAACTGGTTTAAAACAAAAATATTTTAAAATATTACCTTGGTCAGCAACTTTTTCAAAACAGTGATTTTAATCTTGTTCTTTTGCCATGTCTGCAACACTGAATGTATCACATGTTATATTGAATCCTTGCAGTGTGAAACATCTACTTCACCACATCTGATTGTTTTTTTTCCCACCTCACAGGCCCGTAAATACATAATGAGCACAATGGGAGAGAAGTATGCTGAAGGGGTGATTCTTGACTTGGAGAAGATGTGGGAGGAATCCGACCCACGGACACCTCTTATCTGCTTTCTTTCCATGGGATCTGATCCAACTGACTCCATCATTGCGCTGGGGAAGAAGCTCACGATTGAGACGCAATGTGTGTCCATGGGACAAGGACAGGAGGTCTACGCTCGCAAACTTTTGCAGGAGACAATGGCTAATGTGAGTTCTTCATCCTTAGAAATGGCAGCTGAAAAACGTTTGTTTTTTTAAACTACACAATAATTTAATGACAGTTTGGTCTTGACTTCATCTTGTCCCAGTATTTGATTATAACTTTTTCTACTTTCCTTCTTCCCAGGGTGGCTGGGCGTTACTTCAGAACTGTCATCTAGGTCTGGACTTTATGGATGAACTAATGGATGCGGTGACAGAAACAGACTTTGTCAACAACAGCTTCCGTCTTTGGATGACAACAGAAGTCCACAAAAACTTTCCCATCACTCTTCTGCAAATGTCAATCAAGTTCACCAACGAACCACCTCAGGGTCTCAAGGCAGGGCTCAAAAGGACTTACGGAGGTGGGGCTGAGTGTAGTTTCACTTACAGTTCAAATTAACATCTGGAAATCTTAATTTGTCAGTTGAAGTTCAGACTACATGGACTGAACAGACACAAATTCAGTCCTCAGTTGTTCATAATTTAATCTGAAAATACTGACAAGCATAAATATTTTTGGAAATATAGTAAAATGTCAGCAGAGTACATAAAGGAACAACTAGTATGCAGAATCAAGTATCTGATTATTGTTGATGTGTGCATTTGTAAAGAATGAACTTGTTGGTGCACACTTACAGATAGATTTAGACTCTCATCCTGTCCTGAGAGGAAAAGCAGATGAAGGGATGGAAATGCAGAAGAAGCACCTGCTTGTTGCTTAATTCAGTACATTTTACACTCAAGTATCAAAGGCCGTGGGGAAGGGAAGGTTTGGAAAATTTTAGACAAGTTGAAACACATAGTTTGTTTTTATTCAGAACTGAAACAGATGGAGAGAGAAGAATATTTAATATGTAACAACCAGCTGCCTTTTATTATTCCTGAATTATGCTGAAAAGGACAAAGTTTTGTTCCTGAAGGGCAGCCGAGAGTCTGTGTGCCAGCTTATCTTTCTCTCTTCAATCCTGGCTCCAAGGAGCAAAAAAACATTTTATCATCAGATTAGAAGGAATCACAGCTTTATTCTCAGTGATGCATTTAGTAGAACAATTTATGTTTGACACATTTAAATGTCATAAAATCATAATGGTCATTGAAAAAGCTRTCTGCATTGGGATTAGCTCCCACAGCATTTGTGCACGCTTTTATTTTCTACTGTTTGTCTGAAGTTTTTTTGTTTTGTTTTGTTTTTTGTAGGTTTAACTTATTCATTCATTTATGTTTTCATGAACAGGTATAAACCAGGATGTTCTGGATGTCAGCAACATGGTCCAATGGAAGCCCATGCTCTACGCTGTGGCATTTCTCCACAGTACAGTACAGGAGAGGAGGAAGTATGGTCCTCTGGGATGGAATATTCCATACGAATTCAATCAGGCCGACTTCAACGCCACTGTCCAGTTTGTTCAGAACCACCTTGATGACATGGACATCAAGCAGGTAAAGAAGGAAGTACACATTTGGCTTCTCYATGTAAATGTTTGAGTATAAGTCAGGTCCTATGCACAAAATAAATCACCATAGTATGTAAAGTACTTAAAGAAGTGCGTTTAGGCTCATGGGAATGGCAAAGTCTCAAAATTTTACACTGACAATATTGACATATGAGCTTCAGTCATGGTAGTGGTCATCTGTCAAGATTACAGCAAGGTTTGAGCAGTACCAGTGTAGAAAAATAAAGAACTCACTCTATATTGATTATCTGCCAAACTGTTGTTCCATACAAAATTTAATTATTGAAATAGAAACATTTTCATAAGTATGTGCTTTGCTTTTAAAGCAAAGGCTGTCTGGAGGCATTGCACAATGACTATATTTATAGCTTTTTGTAAAACTAGCTGGTNCATAAACAGAGAACAAGAGATTTCATTTATGTATTTTATTTATTTATTTATTTATTTATTTGTTTATTTATTTATTTATGGAGACAATGTACAATGATCAATGCCACTGCATTACACATCAACATAAATGTGCTGGAGTTGGCTCATTTGCTACATTTCATCCGTTGTCCCGGGGAAATAAAAGCATAAAATACAGAATTCATAAAACGCGTACACAACACAGAACACAAAAAATCGTCAAACTATAAATTACACATTTAAWATGGGCTTATTTTGTGAATGAGTACATTTCATTTCAGCTACTGTTTTTTTTTTTTTTGGTCACCCTCTAACTTATCACTCAAAGCTGTGAGCACACATTTTTCTTTTACAAAACATTGGTGTTTGTTTAATTATCTTGTTACTATTATGTCTAAGTTGACACTGTATATCCTTCAGCCACCACTAGCAATCCCTTCCATACTTTTCTCAGCGATGAAATAATAATAAATAATAATAATGCCTTTTATTTATGAAGCGCCTTTCAGGACACCCAAGGACACTGTACAATAGAAAAAGAAAAAAAAATGTAGATACATATATACATAAGGTAGTGTGGGAGAAACAGAAATGCGGAATACAGAACAGTCATATAATAAAATACAAAAATGTAGACAAATTACAATGCCAAGTGCATATTCATCAACAACATATTCATCGTTCACTTCTAAAACTAATTATGTTTACAGGGTGTCTCCTGGAGCACAGTGCAATACATGATCGGAGAGATTCAGCACGGCGGTCGCGTGACTGACGACTATGACAAACGCCTCCTCAACACCTTTGCTAAGGTGTGGTTCAGTGAGGACATGTTTGGATCAACCTTTAACTTCTACAAGGGCTACAGCATCCCAAAGTGCTCCACTGTTGACCAGTACCTGACTTATATTCAGGTAATTCTTTGCTAAAAAGTAAAGAATGGGATGTAAACATACGGCTGCACAATGGCAACTTAAGTCTGATGTTTTACTTTTGACAGAGTTTTAATGACACAAAAAAAATGGTAATACTACTAAAGCACTTTATTGTCACAACAAAATATAGGCCAACATATGTGTGTGTGGTTTATGTGCTCTGTATTCTTTGTGTTTTATTTGGTGTGTCTGTGTATATAACTGGTGGCTCTGTGTGTCTGCGAACAGTCCCTGAGCTTGTTTCATTAAAGCTAGTTTCACTGTGATGGATGCTCAGGACTGCCAGGTTCAACTAGCTTGTTCCTCTGCGCCGCCTCTCAAATCAAGAACGACAAACATAGCCTTGGAGAAAACACACAAACACATATGACAGACACAGCGTCTTAAAACACACACTTTGATTTTGCTAACAACCCCTTCTTCCTCTCTATGTCAGACACAGAAACCTGGATGTGTTAACACTTAATCAGAGAGTACGAAGCACAGCAGAACACAGTGTGTGTGTGTGTGTGTGTGTGTGTGTCTGCAAAAATAATACCGAAAAAAGATGGGAACAAAGGTGAAATTCCCCGAGAGGAAATAAGTGACCTTTTTTACATTGTGTCCCACTTTTTCTTGGTGTGTTGATCAACCTTTCTGCAGGGGTTTAACTCTGTTTGAAAGCACATAATGCCTGTTTGTAAAGATGCAACAAAATCTACCAATAGTAAAGGCATCCATCCATCCAATCATCCATCCATCCATCCATCCATCCATCCAATCATCTATCCATCTATCCATCCATCCATCCATCGAGCTATTTACCAAACCTCTTATATCATCCTGGTAAAAACCAGACCCTTGTCCTTCCCTTTGCTTGATGATTCATACGAGGGTCTGGACTCTCTGCTATAGAGAAGCGATTCTTGCTGGAGGCGTGGCCTCTGCTGTAGTGTCACTGTGAAGGAGGCTAAGCTAAGAAGCTAACCGGAAATCGTGTGTGCTGTAAACAACCCTACTGAAAGGAGAAATATACCGAGCCAAACGAGACGACTGTAAATGAGAGCTGCTGCTTTGTCAGACAAATTTAATTTAATTTGGAAGTTATCAACACAGACTGGCTTCATTCACTTCCTCCACTGCCGTATGATAAACTAACTAGCAGACACTGCACAGAAAATCTATGTTCTGTTCTCTGATTGGTTCAGCTAAAAATCTGCCAGCGAAATCCTTGTCTATGGGAGAAATCCCAGACGGAGCAGTGAAGGGAAACTAGAATTGAGCGGAGCTGCGTAGGAAGGCAAGGGCCAGGAGAAAAAAATAAAACATTTTGACTGCGTACAAATGCAATAATCCTTTCTCAAATTCAAAGCTCAGTTAAATTTATCATTCCACTTAAGTTAAATAAAAGTTTATTTAAATTATTTCTATGAAACCAGAATGCTATTTGTTAAAACTAATAAACTAAAGGAAAATCTTGAAAATACATAACATGATATAAATTGTAAATTGTTAACATCAAACTGCTCCCCTGACATTACTGGTGGTGATGAAGCTTTTTCATTACCAAATGAATCATATAAATCATTCAACATCACTGTCACAGCAGAACACAGTGCTGTTTTCTGTAGAACCCAAGGCTTTACCCATTTTTCTCTTTTTACACTAATTTTGTTTCCGAACAAATTCTGAGTAGTTGAACATTTTTCTGTTTTGTTTTATTTTAAATGTCATTCCAGCTATTTTTGCTCCGAGTGGATCAGAGGTTGTATAGTCAGACAAAGCCTGATGGCGAGCCAGTGTTTCTTGAAAGATTTATTTTTGCCTCCTAATTAATGGCTAAATCAGCAAGGGCATACCTTTACATGCTTGAGTTATTTATCCTATGAGGCTAGCTGGAAAATTAGTATTGATTGCTACAGGGCTTCTATTAGAGAGCACAGAGTCAGTCCAGCTCTGTAGGGGGGAAAAAGCATTAGCATAACATCAAGCCATTATAGAGGGGAAAAGTAAGGTGGTAAAAGATGCAGTAAATGTTATTGATAAGTGGTTCAGCCTGGGCTCATTTTCATCTAAAAAGCACTACAAAGAAGTGATGAATGTCCTCTAGTGTATGTTTTTATACACCCACTTGGAAAGCAGTGCTAACCCATCACCACAGAACTGGAGCTTTGTTGGGCACCATCTAAACACATTTGGTGGTGTTTGCGGGAAGCTTGGAAGCGGTCCTGTCACTTCATCAGCATGTTTACAAGTTGTTCAGGGACATGCATCATTTTGCAGGAGGAGCAGCATGACTCACTGACGTGTTACACCCTCATAATCCTCTCTGGAAGACTACATAAAGCAGCTGGTGTCATCGTGTGTACCTGAGAAGATGTATCGGCCAACACTGAGCAGGGAAACACCCTGGGAACACGAATTTCTCCCAGAAACTGACAATGACACAAGACGATTTCTTTCATAATATTGGAGAGAAGTACTGTATGTTGTCCCCCAGTTAGGATTTTTAAAGCTGTTCAGAGGAGATTCGTTTTGAAAAAGAAGACAGAATAATTTTGTTTTTCTCCTAACAATATGTTTAATTTTTTGGTGATTTGCTCACAAGGTTGTTGTTGCTCATCCACAGAGTCTTCCAGCCTACGACACACCAGAGGTGTTTGGCCTCCACCCCAATGCAGACATAACCTTTCAGAGTAAACAGGCTAAGGATGTTCTGGACACCATCCTCAGTATTCAGCCTAAAGACAGCKCTTCAGGAGGAGGGGAGACCAGAGAGGCTGCGGTGTCCAGGCTAGCTGACGACATGCTGGAGAAACTGCCTCCTGACTACGTACCTTTTGAAGTATGTTTGTGTTCTCCCTGAATTACCTGAAGCAAACAGTGGAGRTGAAGCAACATAGTTTAAAGTTTCACAGGGCAGAGAGGCTCAGGTGGTGCAGACAAAGATAAAGCAGGAGAAAAAAAAAAAGACAAGTTCGCAAAGCAGCTGAATCTCGCTTTCCTAAATTTATTTTAAGGTTTTTCACACCTTTGGTTGCACAAAAAATGAGGTGAGACTGTGACTCTGAGGTGAGGTGCAAAGCTATTCTGTCACCTAGCATTCGCCACACTTTGACTCCCAGCTCTCGGCTCACTTTTTTTTACACTGGGAAGATGTGCTCAAGAAAAATAGATCTGTTGTTTTGTGTTGACAAGCTTCCAAATTTATTTATTTATTTTCAAATTGAGGTGGAAGCATTTGCACAGCTTTAGAGAAATGTGGAAAAGATGTTTTTATTTCTGATGCTGTCTTGAAATGCATTCCCAATGAAGCTATACATTCGTAGATTATATCTTTGTTTTATTTTCTAGAAGTAAGCTTTTGTTCGCTTTATAAATAACTTTGGACAGAAAAGAGAAATAATTAGGGAACATGGACAAGGATATACAACCTTTTGTAAAACTTTGTAGAATTTTATTTACCCTTTTTATTAAGCGCATTTGTATGGTGCTCATCTAGTGACATTAGATTATTAAAAAAATGTGTGGGCATAAGACAATAATTGCAGAGACTGTTGATTGTTAACATGAACAAGTTTGAATTTATTTTATTTTATTTTAATATAAGAATGACATACTTCAGTCACTTGCAGTTAGCCATTCCTAACAAGAGCCACTCAATTTGGCTGCTCAGACTACAAGATTATTTTTTAATCCATCTTCATACAGGCTCCATACAATTGTTACTATATTTATGTTAAAAGACAGATGCTCTGAATCAGCTTTAAATAATTCTTGGCACATTCTTCTTATTGTCAAAACTGTGCTACACACCAAACAACATTGCTCTGTGCTGGCGCAGGTTGCCCACATTTAAACAAGGTATTATTGATGTAACACCTGTCAGGACTGAAAGTGTCTGATTCTCAAAGACCAGCGCTGTTTGCATGAAATATTTACCATCTCCTGGAAGCTGGCGGTAATTCCATCCCAAACTGTACAACCCTGCTCACAGGAAAGCAGTTGGCATACCTATGCTTAAGATGATAATACACAAAGCTCTTTTTTTATTAAGTGAAAATAACAGGTTTCAACAATGGTAAAAACAACAACAAAATACTTATTGATTTAAAAATACTTGGTTGACTCCCTAATGTCTCCCTGATGTAGTTAAAAAAAACACTTTACCCCATCTGTTCAGACCTGGAGCTCATTGTTAGAAAAACATGTTCTATTTTCCTCTCCATCACTTGTGTGTTTGCTGTTGGAGGTCATATTTAAGTTGTACGGCAGGAACCACTGACCTGATGCTTAGATAAATACAAATGTGAAGCATTGCATGGTTTTAGTAAATATGGGCATTTCTAGATGGGCTAGTTTTTAAATGCATTTTGGGAATCAAAGTATTAGCATAATAGAAAAACGAGTGGAGTTCTGAGTGAATGTGATGGTCCTCCAACCAAAGGCATCAGGGACTTACTGTGATGAGAGGGTTAGTAGAAGGAGACTCAGATTTAAAAGAGAAGCCATATCAGTAGGTTGTTTGCTGCAGACAGCTCAGATGAAGCCTGGCAAGAAAAGAGTGAAAAGAAGAATGAGTGGATGAATGACTAAGAAGAGAAATGAGTAGGATAATGATGGATAATGATGAATACAAAGGATGGAGGAAATGAAAGGACACTGAGGTCAGTGGAAGAGGACAAACAGTGCTGTATGACAGAAACAGACTGAGATGTGACTCTGATCCAGGCGTCCAAATGAACAAATTCATTTCACCAAATAACAAAATCACAGTCTGCTCCTGGAATATTGGAGTCCAGCAAAATATCTTTGTTTCTGCTTTCAGAATCCAAAAAGCAAAACAAATATTACATTTTTTTATTACATAAATTTCACTTGTGACCTCAGGCAACAATTTTGTTCCAGTACAGTGAAAAAAAATATTGCAAACTTTTTCATCCATTCTTTTGTAGATATCACCCTGATTAAAACCACAATTATGATTTTAATTAAGAGTGTATATCTAGATTCGAAAAGGCCCCCAGTTATCAAAGCAATTCAACCATTAAAATRCACACAGAAAACACACAAAGAGTCGTCATTTTATTTTGGCCAGTTACAAACTAACTGACTTTTAAAAGGATAATATTGAGTGATTAACAAGTGGTTACAATGATTTGACAACAAATGAGCTCTCAATATATCACAGTTTCTACTTTTTCAAGCAGTTGAACTAATTAATTAAGCAGTTTGTCTAAAAATTTTAACTAAGCAAAAGCAGATTATTTTATGTACATTCAGGGTCCGTGTGTGTGTATATATGTTTATGGATTGTGTATGTGTGAATGTAAGAGAGAGGGAGATAAGAGAGAAAGGAGACAAGATGAACAGACAGAACAACAAATAAATCTTAGCTGAGGTTATGATTTTAAATTGTGCATTTTAGCTGTGAGCCTGCGAGCCAAAGTGGGCACACATCAGCACCATATCTGAGGCCAACCAAATGGGGCAAGACATCAGCTCGGGTAGGTGCCTGTTGGACAGCACAGACCGAGGCCTTTCTTGGTCAACCGAATGGGTGCAACAGCCTTTTAGTTGACTCGGTCAGCAGCGTGGCAGTAGCGGTTCAGGACCAAGGCTCATCAGGAACTTTGAAAAAACTCGCAGCAGGCAAAAGGATGGCTCCAGTGATTGGTTTGAGCTCGGAGGAGGCTTAAACAAAATTTGTACTCCCATCAAAAATAAATATTTCTTTGTGAAATTGAAAAGAAAAATGTTGCTGCGACGAAAAGAGAGAATTGCTGGAAAGCTTTTTTCCAGCACTGACTGAAGAACAGGAAGTAAAGACAGAGTTTTTAAAGAGATACACAGCTAGCACTGTGTTATCACAGGAAGACAAGAAGAATGTGGGAATGTGTGGTGTTTATCTTGCAGGTGTAAGCATGGTGAAGGGTTCTCATGAGAACCGTGTGTGTGTTGTTCTGTGTGGACCCAAGGTCAGAAAATGACACACGAACATTTTGTGAGCAGGAGTAACTCAACTCTTAAAAACGTTAGACTAATATCCTAATTAACTAATTATTAATTATGAACATTGCCTAATAAACTATTAAAATGATTAAGTAATGCTTATCAAAAACAGAAGAAATGAGCATAAAACATAAGCATTGACTAAGATATAAGTTCTGTTATCATTAACTCAGAAATTTCTAAACATGTTCAAAACAACAAATGCAAACCATTATAAGCTCAATTAGAGAGCCCTTCAAAATAAAGGCAAAAGCCAAACACAGGGTTGAAACATTGGAATTAGACATGTTTGAGGAACAGCAACAAAAGCTTGGTTTTATTTTGTTTGTTTTATCAACAAAAGCAAACCTCTTGAGAACATGTTTCTTTCCCAGAGGAAAGGAGAGGCAAAGGAAAGCTTTTATTTTTTAAAGCTCTCAGCGAGAGCTGAAACTGTTCAGTCTGGGAGAGGAGAGCTTTGACCCCACAGGTGGTCAAAGGTCTACCAGTGGTGAAGTGAGATGAGGTGGGGTTCCTCTACACTTTCAAGTTATTAAATGTTTTGATGAATAACTACTGTTTATAAAAATCAAGTTAAGCTATATACACTGCCTGGACAAAGATGAGTTCTACCTGGATTTAACTAAGGTCAGTGATGTGGGGTTGCTGCAGTTGGTCAGGTCTAGGTTCAGCAACAGTCTGCGCTCAAAGAATGAGGTCAGCTGACTACCTGAATATACTGAATGACCAGGTTATTCCTTATAGATGGCATGGCCGTATTCCAAGATGTCAATGCCAGGATTCATGGAGCTAGAATTGTGAAAGAGTGGTTCAGGAAGCATGAGACATGGATTGACTCCACAGAGTCCATCGAGAATCTTTGGGATGTTCTGGAGAAAGCTTTGCGCAGTGGTCAGACTCTACCATCATCAATGCAAGATCTTGGTGAAAAATTAATGCAACGCTGGATGTAAATATATCTTGTGACATTGCAGAAGCTTTTCGAAGCAATACCGCAGTGAATGTGTGCTGTAATCAAAGCTAAAGGTGGTCCAACAAAATATTAGAGTGTGTGACCTTTTTATTGGTGGCAACATTTTTTTTTTTTTTTTTGGCCAGCAAGTGTATTATTTTAGCATGTTGGTGTGTTTTTATGTTATCCTTTCAGTTTATTCTTTCTTAACATGAAGCTAAAAAGAGGTATGATTCCCTGTAGGGTAAATGCTTCTGAAGGTTATATATTGGATGTTCGTTCTTAAAGAATCTCACTTATTTTTCCAGCTGGTGAAGTTGTCTGTGCTTCTGATGTTCTTTTTATCTGTCAGTGCAGTAACACAAATGCATTTATTTCATATCAGGTAAGAGAGCGTCTGCAGAAAATGGATCCTTTTCAGCCCATGAACATCTTCCTCGGTCATGAGATTGACCGAATGCAGCGGGTCATAGTTCTGGTTCGAAACACTCTGACTGACCTGAAGTTGGCCATAGATGGAACCATCATCATGAGTGAGAACCTGCGGGACGCATTGGACTGCATGTATGACGCTCGCATTCCAGCTCGCTGGATGGAGGTCAGTCGCCTTGAAACAAAACTAAACACACAACTTGGTGAACAAATTTTTGTTTTCAGAGTCCATCTTTGACTCTAACTTTTTCAGTACCTAACCTAAAGTTTGACTCCAGGCTTCAGAACAAGGCTACTGAAGAGTAGAGGGAGGAAGGGGCTGGGCTTTCAAAGCTTGACTGTGCAGGCTGTTGCAGTGCATACTGGGATTTGTAKTTTTTTGTGGTTTGTGTACTGTTTACCTGTTTAAAGGAGACCAATTATGGGTCCTAGAAATTTTTATGGTATGTCTGTGGGCTATCCAGACCATGTTCATTCAATTTAATGCACCAAATAATTACAAGATAATAAAATTTCTAATTTTCTAGTTCTGTCTGCTCTGACTTCCGTTCAGAAGAGCTGTTTATGTTAATGAGCTCYGTTGGTAACGCCCTCCAAAAATCTGTTGACATTAACTCCGCCCTCCACAGCCAGCGTTTACATTAGCATGGCTAATAATAGCAGAAGCTCCGTTGTACAACTGTATACTGTATATGAGACCCTGCTGAGTCAGAGTCGTGGTTGCAGCTTCTTTTTTTTCTCTCCCTCCTCTGCTCTGCGCTCACTCTGTATGCTGTTACCAGAGCAGGGAGCAGCAGCGGTCAAAATACCTCAGAAACTCRAACAAATAGGCTTTAACAAGGCTTTAATAAGCTAAACAATAGAGGTACACGAGAAAAAGTGTTCATAACGAATGAAAATAAATGATTAAATTGTGTTCATGCCAGTTTCGAACCCTGGTCTCTTCCTCTCTGGTCCGACACTCTACCTATTACCTTAATGGAGGTCCATTTAAAACTAAGCTGCGCATTGCACAACAACAACCGTGATGGCTTTTTATACTGAGGAGGTGGAGTCTCACCCGGGGGTTGTTAGGTAAGGGGCTGTATGCAGGTTCTGGTGGGTTGTCGTACGGCTTGTGACATCACAAAATGACGGAAGCATAAAACTTGTCATTAATATACATTAAAAATACATTTACCTACAGTAAATATGCCCCTGGGTGCATTTTTTTGGTCCTAGGACTGTTTTTTAAGAAGTACAAACCCAAAGTTGAGTAAAAAAAAACTTTAAAAAGTGAATTTTGCATAATAGGTCCCCTTTAAACAAAATTAGATACAAATGTAACATGTTCTGGCTTTGAGCTTGACACTTTTGTCTTAAAACATATGTTTGTATTAGTTTATATTAGTTGGAAGTTTGATTTTCTTTCAAGTTTACATAAGTGGTACTTTAAAAAAAGCATAATGGTTACCTCTACTTAAAGTTGCTCATTAAGACTGTAATGCATGCATTTCTGTTCCAACATGAAAAAAAAAAACCTTTTGTTTTGTGTTTCATTTAAAGTGAACTTAAACATGCTCTTTTTTAAAAAATTGCGACATACTGTATTTTGGGGTGCATTGCCAAGTGGCAACAATGCAAAAGATATCTTCATATTCATGTTTCTTTTGCAGTGCGACATGAAATTCATACATCATTTAACTTCCTTACATGGATTTGCCTTTTTCACTAGAAAACATTCAAATTAATTTCCAAACAATTACATGACTTTTGCACTCAACCCTAACTAATTCTATTTTGTCAAGTGGTATGTGGCTTATTCTCTGTTCTCAGCCTTTTTTCCAGAACTAGAATATTAATGGGTTCATGCTCTAAACAGAAGCACACATATATGATATGTGTATCTTTCCTTGGATTAGTGGTCAGCCATAATGCCTTGCATCAAGAAGTAAGTAAGAAGCTCCTGGGTTTGAGACCAGGGGCTTTCTGTCTGAAGTTTTACATGTTCTCCTCGTGTTTGTGTGAGTTTTCTTTGGGTGTCTTTAAAAATATTAGAAATTTGCTAAAAGAAATTATGTTGGCATATGGCAACAATATGAAGGAGAGGGTTACCTAAAAGAAGCACGTAAAACAAACTGAGTTTGCTTTCACAGAAACATGATTTTTTGTTATTGCATATTTTTTTTATTTTTTTTTTTAGGATCAGTCCATCCATTTTCTGTTTCTGGTCACATGGCAGCTGGTGCTTTTCTTCAGCAGCCCTTGTGTGAGAGGCAGTGTACATCCTGGCATGTTACAGGTCCATTACACGGACACACAAATTAGACTAACAACCATTCACACTCTCACTCACACCTAGGTTAATCAGTGTGCATTGCCAATGCAATGCACACTATTGTGATTTGTTTCCCATCCAAGTCATCTCAACTTTGGCATGCTTCTCCTCCTGCATACTTTGTCCTAGAGCTGTCATTGTAATTTATATCTGTAAAGCTCCTGTGCCAAATGATGATGGTTGTCACCAAATTAGTGACAACCATTACATTGGCAATGTGGCCACTTTCTGCACACATACAAACCAAACCCTGGCCTCGTTCTCTACCACAGCTCTAATGGTCTAATGGTTAGTGCCATGGGCTTTCATGTCGGAGMTCAGGGTTCAAAACCCAGATACAGCAACTTTAACAGAAAATCTCTACAAACTTCATATTGTCACACAATTACCCTTATTACAAACACCTGCTGACTTGACAGGCACAAGCTGGTATAGAAAACACATTTGAACTTGGTCACATTTCATTCTGCAAGTCCACTGCTGCAGGCAAAGCCATGCTGCAGTGACATGCTACAAGGCAATACACACTTGTTTTTACATCGTAAAAACCCATCTCTAGTTGTAACCCTAAAATTGTCTCTAACATGCATGTTTTTGGTCTGTGAGAGGAAACCAGAGTACCCTGGGAAAACTCATGCATGCTCGGAGAGTACATGTAAACTTCACACAGAAACGCTGTGAGGCAAACCTGTGACTTTCTTGCTGTGAAGCAAGATCACTAACCACTGTTTCATCATGCCACTCTTGTTTTTCAGAAGATCAGGTCGTTTATAGAAGGGAACAGGACATCAGCATTCAAACTGATTTTCTGGTTGCTCCTAATGCTACATTTTGATTGATATTTTTTRAGATTTTATGCACAACCTCTGAATCCGTTTCTGTAATAAATGAAAATAAAGGAGATTACAGTAACCAACTTAACTGGAGCAATAATGGAGAGAACACTAGTAGAATTTAGCATGACCATTCACATATCTTATTTAAATGAGTCCAYTGGCTTTTAAGTCGTGCTCTTGCAAACAATAGGCTATTAGCTATTCAAGCTCTGACTGACAATAATGCAGGACTTAAATGGCCTCCTGCCTGGTGTTCAGTTTTTCTACCTGCAGTGCAGCTCTTCTTTCAGGCCGTTTGTCTGCACCTTGTTGTATTGTGTTGCTTTTTATTCCTAAAATCTTTTTTTTTCACCTCAGCACAGGGACAAGGCTTTGCTTCTGTTGCTGTTCTGATCTGCCTGGGTGACAGCCTTTCAGTACGTCATATTGTTTCCATCATGTTGTTGCTTATCTTTGTTTTTCTTCTGCAGGCATCGTGGGCCTCCAGCACCCTGGGATTCTGGTTCACAGAGCTGCTTGAGCGTAACCGGCAGTTCCAGGCTTGGATCTTTGAAGGCCGCCCCAACTGCTTCTGGATGACGGGCTTCTTTAACCCGCAGGGCTTCCTGACAGCCATGAGACAGGTACTCACAGAATCCGACTGCCCACCTGTTTGCCCACCGCCAGGGGGGAGACCAGATGGTACACACAGGGAGAGGCAGGCACACATCCACAGACATACACACAGACTGAATAATGTTCTTAGTTCGGTGTGTGTGTGTGTGTGTGTGTGTGTGTGTGTGTGTGTGTGTGTGTGTGTGTGTCTTTTAACACAATATCCCATGAACAACAGGACAAATCACAATAAAACTTGTAGAAAGTAATCATTAGGAGGACACCTACACATATTAGCAAGTGCCAGTGACACAAAGTCATCCTTGGAAGGTCCAGATGCTGAACCCCTAGAAAATTTTGAAAAAAACATTACTAAAAACTATGCATTTTCCAGAAATTTGAAGTTTTCTAAATAATATTAAAAAATTGCTGAATGATTTACAGTATACTACTTATTGATATTAGAGTAGTGAGTTACATCTAGTCTTTTGAGAAGAACTTCATCTGAGATCATACTTGCAAATTGTAGGCTACTACTATTACATTGTTTTGTTTTTTACACACTGAACTTCATGATTTTGTAATAAAAACAGACTTGCTAAGAAATCTACTGACACAGAAAACCATAAATAGAAAATACATATTGCCCTACACTGTTTGGTTCATTCCTTGTGGTATTTATACCTTCTCCTGGTGGCTCTCCATGAGCATTAAAACTTCGGGTTGTGAACAAAGTGAAACAAAAAAAGTCAGAGCTTGTTTTTAAAAATAAAAGGCAAATCCAACCTTCACACCCCTCACATACAGTTTTCTTTAAATTGACCACATTTCCTGTAACTTCCTGTAACTTCACATTTAAATTACCCCCAACACCACAATGGCTACTGCTGATGATACCGTTTTTACAAGCTCCTGCTTTCCATTACTGTAACCCTGTGATAGTTTGTGCCCTCCAAAAGATTGAAGCCATGTTCATACAAACACACCCTCAGTCACAAGCTGAAACCTTCTCATTGATTCACTTACAGCAGCCAGTGGTGAAACTGACCATGAAACAAACATGAAAGTAAAGAGAAACTATGAGGAATTTTAAAGGTTTGGTGACTGAATGAAGAAAGAGGTAAATATGAAGAAAAAGGAGCACAACATTTACAACTCACCAGACTGCAACCAGTTTCTAAACAGTATTTAATCTCCAGAATGTCTCCCTACATTGTTGAGAGGTGGTTCTAATTTTCCTCGCTGCTTGAGTCACAATCAGTTGCATCAATTTAAGACATATTCAAAAAAAATCTGTGCAACAAAATTTTCTCACAAAATAGAGATGTGGG